ACAAAGTCTCCTCCCACCCAGCCCCCATCCTGCAAGGAGCATGTGGCACTTCGAAGCAGGGTTGACTCTAAGCACCACGTGCTCCCCCGTCCTTTGGCCCTGATTGGCCTGGGGGCGGTGGAGCAGTGGGACCCCCATGGGCCGGATCAACCAACTTGGCAGGCCAGATCTGGCCCATGGAGGCCCTTTTGAAATCTCATGAGGTTTAACAAGGACAAGTGTAGAGTCCTGCACTTGGGACGGAAGAATCCCAAGCATAGTTACAGGCTGGGGACTGAATGGCTAAGTAGCAGTAGCAGAAAAGGACCTGGGGAATCCAGTGGATGAGAAGCTGGATAGGAGTCAACAGTGAGCCCTTGTAGCCAAGAGGGCAAATGGCATATTAGGATGCATTAGGAGGAGCATTGACAGCAGATCCAGAGAAGTGATTATTCCCCTTTATTTGGAACTAGTGAGGCCACACCTGGGGCTATGTCTACACTGGCCAGTCTTGCACAAGAACATATGCAAATGAGCCACCATTTTTGCGCAAAGGGCTTTTGCTTAAGAAGGAGCAGTCTGCAGTGCTCCTTCCTGCGCAAAACCCCCTCTTGCGCAAGAGCTGTTCTGCTCTGATTTTCAGGCAGAATGGCTCTTGTGCAAGAGGGGTTTTTGCACAAGAAGGAGCAGAGTAGACTGCTTCTTCTTCCACAAAAGCCCCTTGCACAAATATGGCAGCTCATTAAGTATGCAAATGCGGTGCAGCAATATTCATCACCACATCTCATTTGCATATGTTCTTGCACAAGACTGGCCAGTGTAGATATAGCCCTGGGCTACATCTAGACTTGCATGATTTTCCACAAATGCTTTTAACGGAAAACTTTTTCTGTTAAAAGCATTTGCGGAAAAGAGCGTCTAGATTGGCACGGATGTTTTGCGCAAAAGCACCTTTTGCGGAAAAGTGTCCGTGCCAATCTAGATGAGGTTTTGTGCAAGAAGGTCCCGCCATCGGGGCTTTTTTCACCATCGGGGCTTTTTTGTGCAAAACAGTTTTTAGCTGTCTACACTGGCCCTCTTGCGCAAAAGCATTTGGAGACGGTCCAGCGGTGGGCAAACAAAATGATTAGGGGACTGGAGCACATGGCCTACAAGGAGAGGCTGAGGGATTTGGGCTTATTTAGTCTGCAGAAGAGAAGAGTGAGGGGGGATTTGGTAGCAGCCTTCAACTTCCTGAAGGGGGTTCCAAAGAGGATGGAGAGAGGCTGTTCTCAGTAGTGACAGATGGCAGAACGAGGAGCAATGGTCTCAAGCTGCAGTGGGGGAGGTCTAGATTCGACATTAGGAAAAACTATTTCACTAGAAGGATGGGGAAGCACTGGGATGGGTTCCCTAGGGAGGGGGTGGAATCTCCATCCTTGGAGGTTTTTAAGTCTCGGCTGGACAAAGCCCTGGCTGGGATGATTTAGTTGGGATGGGTCCTGCTTTGGGCAGGGGGCTGGACTTGATGGCCTCCTGAGGTCTCTTCCAGCCCCGGGATTCTATAATTTTGCCCACCCCCGGCCTAGAGTGACACTGTGTCATTATTACGTTTCTGCCATTGCCCACCCTTGGCCTAGAGTGACACTGTGTCATTATTACGTTTCTGCCAAAAGCACAAGTCCTTAGTTCGGATTAACTGTTACACCTCATTGCAGGAGGAGTAACAGTTAATCCAAACTAAGGACTTAGTTCGCATTCACTTCTGACTGCTGCATGTAGCCGTGGGCAGTCAGTTCGAACTAAGGGGATTGAAAAATGGCGCCCGCCCAGGAACATGCAAATGAAGCCCAGGATATTTAAATCCCGGGCTTCATTTGCAAGTTCGAATGCCTACATTAGCCACCCCAGTTCGAACTAGGGGGCTAGTGTAGACATACCCTTCGTGACCAGCCGGCTGGCTTCCAGCTCTTGTGGTTGAGGCTCCTGGCTTTAGCTCCTAAGGTCTAAGGTTCAATCTCACCACAATGACTTGGACCCACTGGCATTACAGCAGTGCCAAGGGGCCAGGCCCCCATGGTGAGAGGTGCTGCACATTAGTCATTAGGCGTCTTACAGCAGTGCCCAGGAGTCCCAGACTGGGGCCAAGCCCCTTTGTGTGGGGTGCCATAGAGCAGACACAGTTCCTGCCCCCAAAGTGCATCCAGGCTAACTATAGGGGGGCAGCAATGAGAGCGTGATGGCCAGCAATGGGGGCCCAGTGCACAAGTCCAAAGGCAGACAAGGCACTGGCTGTGCTGAGACTGTACAGCACGAAGAGCACGTCTGAAACCCTAGCAAGGGGCCAAGGCAGGCTGGCAGCACTGAGAAAACCCGCCCTTGCCGGCAGTATGCATCATGGAAAGAGCCGTGCGATTGTTATTCTCACCCAAGTGCCAGCTCAGGTCCCCCTGTGGCCAGTGCCCTTACAGAGCCTCAAGTGGCACTTTGGCCCAGCTCCACAAGGGGCCTGGGCACTGAGCAGCATGGTGCTAGCAAGTCACAGGCATCCCCTGCCATGTACATGGCAGAGCGGGGATGGGGGGGCGGAGGGAAGGAAGGGGGAGCAGGCTGGGGGTCAGCATAGCATGCAAAGCACATGGCCAGGAGCCACCTATGCTAGCCAATAAGGAGATGCAAGTTTGGCCTAAGTCCCACCTCCCTGAGGGTACGTCTAGACTACAGAGTTTTGTCGACAGAAGTTTTGTCGACAGATACTGTCGACAAAACTTCTGTCGACCAAGAGCGTCTAGCCTGGGCACTGAGCAGCATGGTGCTAGCAAGTCACAGGCATCCCCTGCCATGTACAAGGCTGAGCGGGGAGGGGAGGGCGGAGGGAAGGAAGGGGCAGCAGGCTGGGGGTCAGCATAGCATGCAAAGCACATGGCCAGGAGCCACCTATGCTAGCCAATAAGGAGATGCAAGTTTGGCCTAAGTTCCACCTCCCTGAGGTAGGCAATGAAGCCCAGACTACAGGGAGGCCCCAGCTCTCTGCATGCAGCCAGCTTGGGCACCTCTGCAGGTTCCCATGGGAACGAGTTTGGCCCCTACCTTGCTTCACCCAAAACCAGCCAGAGAGATGCTGCTGCTCACACCCAACTAGCAGCCCAGCAGCTGGAGCACACACCTGGGACCAGGGAGCTCCCGTTCTATTCCCCTTCCCTGGCAGAGGGGAGAATCCATTCGGACAAGGCCTGCTCTAGTCACTGGGCTGCTCAGTCGGGAGGGACCCTCAGGCTCTCCTGTTGAAGCTGAGGCTAACTGATCAAAGAGTTACTGGAGGAAGGGGTCTGGCCCCCCAGGTGAGTGTCCCAACCACAGGACGGCAGCCACCTTCACTGGCTCTTGCTCTCACAGATTGCACTGGGGTTAAACGCAACAAGAGTCCAGAGGTTCACACACCCACCTGGGAGAGGGGAGGCCCAGGGGCCAGGCCCCCTGCTCCAGCCACACTTCCATGATTTAGTCCCCATGGAGGGAGCCCCACATTCGATTATCCTGTCACTCAGGGGGTAGCTCACACTGCTGAGAGGTAGCAGGCTCTTGTTCAAATTTCCCCTGAGTACAGGGCCTCGAACCAGGGCCTCCCATGGTGCAGATAAGCACTAACCCCTGGCTCACAGCGAGTAAGTGGGCAGCACCACTTCCTCCCACAGGTGGATTTGGGGGGGATCCAATACAGCGGGCAGCACGTGAGCATCCTAACAACACAGGCCTCAACTGCAACATAGTGGGAAGCCTCGCCTTCCTCTGGAGCGTGTGGCACGGATCACTTGCTGGAGGATTCTCTGCATCTTGGAGTCTTCAAACCATCATTTGAGAACTTCAATGTCTGAGATATAGGTGAGAAGATTATTCCAGGAGTGGGTGGGTGAGATTCTGTGGCCTGCATTGTGCAGGGGGTCAGACTAGATGATCATAATAGTCCCTTCTGACCTTAAAGTTTATGTGTCTATGAATGGGGCACGGGCAGGAAGCGCGCAACCAGGAGGCTAGAGGCTGCAAGCACCAGCCCAGAGGTAGAAACACAAGTGCCAGGGGAACCTTTATACTGAAAATGTAAAGACACCAATGAGCTGCGGCACCTCACAGGTCAGCCATTTTGTGGATTGGCAAAGCCAGAAACTAGAACCTAGGTGCCTAAACCCAAGCTGTAAGCAGTTTATGCTGCCTGATCAATCCACTCCTCTCTGTGGTTGAACAGAACACCCTGGGGCAGGTGGCTAACTACCTCCTAACTCCAGTGTGCAGCTGGGATAGGAATCAGGCAATCAGAATCCTTCTTCAGGCTCTGCTGCCAAGCTGCTGTGTGACCTTGGAAAGTCATCTCCCTCTTACCTTTCCCCTGTCCTCTTCCACCTGAACTTTCTGGGGTAGGTGCTGTCTCTCACTGTGGCTTTGTCTAAAAAACTGCGTAAGTTACCTCACTCGGGTATAAAAAACCCAGCCACATAATTTATCTACCTCAATGAGAGGCAGAACCTATTTCAAAACTGCTGCATTGACTGCAGCAGTGTCAATTTCAGTGAAGGCAAGCTCTGTACACCAGCCAGGCCCAGCCCAAAGCAGCCCCAATCTACTGCAGGCAATGGACTCTGAGGTGCTCCTTGGGCTGCCTACACAACAGCAGGATCTGCTTTCCAGACTCTGGACATTGGTAACTGGCACTGTAACAGAGGTTCACACTGTACAAAATACAGCTAAATCCCTAACATGAAGTGTCCATGTATACAATTCACAGCAATGGCATGTGTACAGAGAAGGCAGGTGGTCGGGCCGGAGCTGTCAGTGCACGCAGTCATGAACAGAAGGTGCTCAGTTATCTGGTGATAAGGTCTGAATAAGAACTAGAATAGAAGGAAATATTAATGTGACACACTCACTTTCAAGAGACAATCCATACAATCTGCAAGTGGGTGACCCCACTGGGTACTGTACCTAATGGTGCCTGGCATAAAACCTTACTTTGAGATTTAAGCTTTGAAGAGACATGCACATGCAGGCAGGGTATAAACGGATTTTATTTGCAGAGTTAGACAAGTATGATGAGGCTTTCCCAAGATTATATACAGCACCTATTCCCTAAGAGCATGTACAATAGAAAAGTGATCCATAAAACCAGCACCACACAGAATGCAACCATTCTGAATGTGAACCATGGGATGCAAAGGGATGAGTGATTAGCTTGCAATGGAGATGGGGGGCAGAGGGGTAACAACCTGACAGAGAGAAATGAAAAGAGGCCAGTTAACTACACAACATTTTAATTTAACTAGGAAAAATGATCAGCTTGGAAAAGATCCAAAGGATCCAACTCTCTGGTTAAAGGGGGTCACTGTCAATGGGAGGATTTTGAAATTCCAGGTTTTGATAGACCCTCCCATTGTGTAATATCCTGAATATTTCCATTGTAACTTGAGTTTCTTTATTAAAAAAAAAAAAAAAGGAGCGAGGATAGGGAAAGCCTGCCTCTCAGTTGTTGCTTTCAATGCCTTTTTCAGCAACCCTGACAATAGAACAGCGAAACGTATGGCATGGAAGAGCTCAGCAAAGGACAGAAGCTGAAAGGAAGAATGTGCTGAGGGCTTCCCACCAGAGTGATCTCAGGAGTTGCTTGCAACTATCACACACAGCGTTTTTTTGCGGGATTTATTTTCAAGCCGGTCACGTCCCTGTCATTAAGCTTGCCCTGTGGGGGGTGGAATAAGGTAGATCAGCTCATTGCTGTGAATGTTTAGGGGGCCACACCTCTCGCAAGAGCAGGGGCTGCCAGACATCATCTCTGAGCTGTTCTGTAAGATTAAACAAAGCATCAAGTTTTTGAGTAAGATGCCCCCACATTTCTATCTCCTTCATACACTGTAAACCACCACCACCACCACCAGCAGCAGCAGCAGCAGCAGCAGCAGCAGCAGCAGCAAATACATCCCTCTCCCCTCTGGCAGGTCACTTCCAGGCAAGCAGCATGTTAAATCTGTCTGGGTTGGCATGGCAAAGAGCCCTCCTGCTTTCTAGTGTCACAGGGCACTGCACGTCCATGCCACAGTTAGTGTGTGCAAGCACGCTACGCTTTGGCAGGAGAAGCTTGGTTTGGGCCTCACAAAAAGCCTCATTTTTACCCTCAGACTAAGCGATCCACTCAGAGCCTACTTCATGAGCAGCCGAAGAGGAAGCTTCTGACACCGACTCTGTCCCCGTCCCTCCCCATCAATGTGCCTCAAACCTGCGCTGGAGGGATCCACTCCAGAAGGCAGAAGGGCTTGGCTAGAGCTGCCTGGCTGCCAGTCACCTGCAGCTGGTTGAGTGAATGGTTCTGGGGGGGAGGAGACCTGTCCCACTGAGAACCACACTAAGCCTCACACACACAAGGGGACAGAAAGTAGACACCAGTGACTGCTGAAAGAGGCAGAGCAGAAGCAGCAGCCTAGCACAGAGATGCTGCAGCCCCAGGGCCAGCCCTTCTGACTTGATTCCCATCAGCTCTGTGGGTAGGGGGTTGGGCACATGGGAAATGAGCTTCCCCATGCTGCCCCACCAACACACTTCAGCTCTACACAAAGCAGAGGCCCACCTGTTAGGCCAGAGTGAGTTCAGAGTCTGAGTGCATCTACACAAAGCAGGGAGTTGTTCCCACACAGGGGGCAATGTACACACTAGCTCTGTTCAAGCTGGAATATCAGAAGTAGCAGCAGCAAGGGCTGACTAGCTGAGTACCTACCTAGGAGCGCAGATGGGGTCATGTTCTGCAGCTCGAGTTAGCTGCCTGAGCACAAGTCTGCCTGAGATCCTACAGGGTGACTAGTCTCAGCCACCACGCTACATTGAGTTAGCTCAGCCACACCTAGCCTGTGTATCCCCACCAGAGCTGGAAAAGACAACTACAGGGCAGATGTATGTCTGTTGTCAGCCTTGGCCGAAGCCAAGAATTGAATGGGGGGAGGGAAAGGAAGGGGCAATTAATATGATGGGGAGACACATTCCACTGGAACTGGGCTGAGGCCCCCTCTGCCTCACACAGGTTCATTCTGATTTACAGACAGCCTGCCCCAGACAAGCCATGCCACCCCTTCCGGTACAGTCCGTTTAGTTACACGGTGCACATGGACAAGAGCAGCACGTCAGCTCCCCCCGCCGGGCACTCAGCGGCCGTCCAGAGCTTTGTCTCGCGCTATGACAGACTCATCAAATTTGATCATGAGGGTGGTGCCCTTGTGCCAGTGGGCCGTCACCTTGGCGGGGAAGCCGCTGTAGGTGAGGATGGCCTCCACGATGCCAGCTGTGAAGGAGGCGCAGTTGAGCGTGCTGTTCTCCTTGGGCACCGAGATGAAGGTGTTGATCAGTGGCTCTTTCTCGATGATGTAGTAGGTCTTGTCATCATCATTGGCCTGCTCCAGCTTGTCCGCCTCCTTCCCGAACAAGGCCTTCCACACCGTCACCTTGATGAAAAGGAGGATGTTGATGACCTTGGTCTCCCGCTTGCCGTTTTTCTCCCGCATGACCAGCACATCCAAGATGCGAGCTCCCACCTGCTGGCCCAGCTCTGAGAGTTTGTTCTGGAGCTCGGAGACTGAGTAGACCCGGTTCTGACAGTACTGCACTATCTCTGAGAATAGCAGAGAGAACGCACTCAGGCTGACCTCCATTTTTGGTCGGGTCAGAGACCGCTCCAGGATGGCAGATTTCCCACGAGTGAAGCGTGAATCCATTGTCCTAAAAGAAAAAAGCAGTTTCAATTCTGTGGGATAGAGACGCTCTTTCCTGAAGCATCAGTGCAGCACCTGGGACTCTGGGGTCCTGACTACAGCTCAGGCTGTGAAGCGTCACTGGGTTACACATAATAATTAAAATAAAAGAAAGAAATCATGTTTCTATAGCACCTTCCATTCCCGAATGCTTTACAAACAATATACCAGTAGGGATCCCTCGTACAGTGCTGAGAGGCAATGCAATCACCTCTGGGATGGGGCAGCTGCTAACACAGGGGGCTTCTAGTCTAGCACGGAGATGCAGCCAAGCTTAGGGTTGGGCTCAGAGGCTGTGGGGCAACACCAGAAATGAAGGAGCCAGAATCCAACTGAATTTGAATTTGGGGAGCTAAAAGTTAATGCTAGAGTCTGGATGCAGCTGGGACACAGGGGGACTGTCCTACTATTCATACGGTTGCCAAGAATCTTGGAAGGCTGCTGAGAGCCTCACATTGCTTCATGGTGCTTAAAACACAAACCTCCCTGCGACTCAACTCCATCACCCCACCCACAGGTGCCACAAACGCACCCCAGTGTGTGCCCCTGCCCCCTTAC